TATGAAAGAATACGCGATTTCTCCGTTGCCATAGTTGTCTGTATTAATCTCCTTTATCTCTCTTTGTTGCTGTAGCATAAAATTCTTGACATGCAATGCTTTCTTTTTTAGTTATTTAAATATTTAATGGCAAGAATTAGTAAATTTCGAAGTCCCAAGTGCGGGTTGAATTACAAGAGGATGAAACATTACTCTTCCCCCTTGACTTGGGGGTCATATTAATTAAGGAGTTCTTCTCGTTAATTCCTCTTAGAATCACCTTAATTTTGGAAACTACATAGAGTGACATTCTTATTGTTTATTTATGGTGATATGTTTTGATAAAATGAAATTAGGAATATATACCATCTAAGTTCTGAACATAGATAATAAGCTTGTTCGAGTTTTTTTTTTTTTTTAATCCATTGGTACAATATCTTTCCAATATGACATAATTGATGGTGAATATATTATTGATATGGAGGATAACCTAATCTGAATTTGCTATTGGGATATATAGTTGGAGTATCTATCTTTGGCAATCTTGTTTGATTATGTTTGGAAGTTATTTCATGTTGTATTTGTACTTAAAGGATTGTTAGGTGTGACATTCAATTAGAATCACTAGCTAGCTATAATTGGATATAAACTCCTTTAATTCAGTTCATACTCACTGATAAAATACTTAATTTATGCAAAGAATTTCTGTGGCCTTTCTGAATTTGTTTATAGGAGGATAAGCCTTTTGGTCACGAACATAGACAATGGATGAATAAATTTTTAGAGAATAAACCAAATAGGTGATCCTGACTATTTTAACTTTATCTAAAAGTTTCTCTCAATTTTTTTCTTTGGTGTTGGTTGAAAATGCTGGTTTTTGGTTATTCTTGCACAATCACAGGGGATAGGTGGTGTAGGAAGTGTTGCAGCTGAGATGCTGACTAGATGTGGTATAGGTCGACTTTTGTTGTACGATTATGACAAAGTGGAGCTTGCAAACATGAATAGGTTGTTCTTTCGTCCAGATCAGGTGAGTGTCCAAATCTTCATTTTCTTGTTTTGAATTTGTTTATTTTTTGTTTGTTTATTATTTCTAGGCATTACATCTTAAAACTGAAAGGGCTAATCACATGAGTTATTTCTAACATAATTTTTCTTGGTTGACAAAGTAAAAATGTGAAATTTGATGCTAAATGCTAACTGTAGGAGTTAGAATTTTGCACCGGCAAAGCTATATATTAAATCATATTTACATCCTAAAGTTTCAAGAAGTTCCCTGTATCCATACCATAATTATGTGATATAATGTTTTTAGCTTCCCAGGTTGGTTTGACTAAAACTGATGCGGCTGTACAGACTCTTTCAGACATAAACCCCGATGTTGTACTAGAGGTACGTATTTTGCTGTTTTTATAGCAACAGGATCTTTTCATATATCTATGTTATTATTAAAATGAATCTTTATAAACATTTTGTTGATTGGTAAATTTGTTAATACTCTTCTCTGCTGATATATTTCCCTTTTCCTTTTGATTTAGAGCTATACACTGAATATCACAACCGTCACAGGTTTTGAAACCTTTATGTCAAGTTTGAAAAATAAATCATTTCAACCGAATAAGGAAGGGAGTGGCGTGGATCTGGTTTTAAGTTGTGTGGATAATTATGAAGCAAGAATGGCTGTTAACCAGGTATATATAATATAATTTCAATTTAAACAATTACTTTTCTTCTTTTTGGTTTTCCCTGGGAATGCTCATGCCTGACTGATTTCTATAAACACTGCAGGCTTGTAATGAATTGAGTCAAACATGGATGGAGTCAGGTAAGCAAAAGGATCTGCTAATCTCTTCTCTTGTTAGGAATAAAATTCTTGGACATGTTTGTTGAAGGAGACTAAATTGCTCTGGATTGACTCCACCATCTTTATCAATATTTCGGAGTAGTAATGTGAAAACAATCAATGGTACTCAAAGATATAGGAATAGACATATTTCTGATAAAAATTGCAAAATGTCATTTACCTTTGCCTATGTTTTATGATGCTAATGTATGTGGCTGCTGAATGTACTAGCATATGTTATATCACATGCCAGCACGTAATGCATTCTATATGCAATATTTTTATGATGATTTTGCAGATCTAGATGTATGAAGTATGGAATTTCTTTTTGGTGTGTGTGGAAACTCATGAAATATACAAATTTGAACAGGTGTTTCAGAGGATGCTGTTTCTGGCCATATTCAATTACTCATTCCTGGTGAAACAGCCTGTTTCGCATGTGCACCTCCTCTGGTATGACTCTTTATTATGAGTTTGTCTATGATTCACAATTGATGGTAATTGGCCTCAAGGGCTTAATCTTAATTGAACCTGGTGGTATACATGATTTCTGAAGCTCATCCATATGACATAAAACACTGAGCTATTTATTCTCAAGATATAAAATCTTTGGACGAATGACTTTGTAGCTAATCTATTGATTTTTCATCCACCTTACAGCAAATCTGAAATTTTTATGCAGTATGTGCAACATGTGATGCATACATTTATGTTTTCCTTTTAGGTTGTTGCATCTGGAGTAGATGAACGCACACTCAAGCGTGAAGGGGTCTGTGCTGCATCTTTACCTACCACTATGGTAAACTACGAGTGTATATATCTGTTTCTGGTAAAATTTTTTGATTGTTTCGATTTCCTAAAGACTAAGTTCTAACCAAATTTCAACCACGTAAGTTCTTTTTATTTAGGCTAGCAAACAGTTTTTCAATAAAAAATATATGAAAATCGAAAGTATTAAAATATCGAACCAAATCGATGAAACAAAGTGTGAATATTAGAAACACGGAAAACGTATTAAAAAACATACAGACTGAAATCGAAAGTTCTTTTTTTGTATTTTTATTAAGAGACTCGAGAATATGAAAATTAGTAGAAGTAAAGAAAGCAGTAAAAAGATGTCGAGACAACAAAGTAATACATAAAATAAAAGTAAATGACCAAGTAATCGAAATAACTGGAAAGTACAGGAAAGTAAATTTAACTTGCAAGTAGATAAATTACCGGGAAAGTAAAGAAAAGCGTTAAAAAATATCGAGACTAATGCAGAAATTTAAATTGCATAAGAGTAAATGACAAGGAATTGGTAAAAGATATTGAAACAAAGATGTAATGCAGAATCTTAAATTGCATAAGCGTAAATGACAAGGAATTGAAATAACATGAAACTAAAGACATGTAAATTTAAATTGCATTAAAGATAAAGTATCAGGGAAAGTACAGAAAGTGGTAACAAAAGTCAACAAAAGTGGAAATCCAGATCGCCAAAAACTTCATGATTCGTCGTTCTCCGGTAGACTTGTACAATAGACTTCTGCTCTCTCTGAAAATTCTCCTTCCTTCTTCATGCTTCGTTCTATTTATAGACTTTCTTCATGCTTCGTTCTATTTATAGACTTCTTCAACGTAACCTCCTAAGAGCGGTTTAGAAACCGCTATCCATGTTCCCATGTGCATGATAACCGTTCCCTCGATCTCGACCTCAACCATCGAGTACTTTAAACTGCTTCTGACTACCTAAGAACGGTTTAGAAACCGCTACCATGTTCCCATATGCATGATAACTGTTTCTCTCGATCTCGATTCCAGACATCGAGTACTTTGAACTGTTTCTGACTTCCCTCAAACTTAACTTCACACTCAATACTTATTATTGATTTTTTACTCCCAATCATGTTCATCGAATTTCCTCTATCTTCTTTCGATTTAGATTCTCGATTTTCCCTAATACATGGTCATCGAATTTCTCTTATCCATTTTCGATTCAGATTCTCGATTTTCCCTAACACATGGTCATTGAATTTCTCCTATTCATTTTCGATTCAAATTCTCGATTTTCCCTAGCACATGGTCATCGAGTTTCTTCTTTCAATTTTCGATTCAGATTCTCGATTTTCCCAACCTACTGTCATCGAATTTCTTCTTTCGATTTTCGATTCAGATTTTCGATTTTTTCCCACCAACAATATCTTACATTGGCTCCTTTTCTTCTTCATAGTTTGAAATTGAAATACTATGTTAGATTATATTTCTTTTTAAATTTTCAATAAATATGACATTTTCTACTGATTTTAGGGGCTTATTTATTTTATGTTCGTTATTTAGAATGCACAGCACACTTTAGTTTTTTGTTATCTAATATTGCAAAATCTTATTTCATTTCATAGGGGGTTGTTGCTGGCCTTCTAGTCCAAAACACACTAAAACTATTGTTAGGCTTTGGACAAGTCTCTCCATATTTGGTAAGGGCTGGTTGGTGCTTCCTTTGTTCTCCTTTCCTGAGTTTGTTGCAAATGGTCCCTTATATTCTAAAAACAAATTAACGAAGTAACAAACTGAGTTTATTCTTCAGGTGAATCGTGTGAGGCGTCTTCAATGAAAGATAGTCTCTGTTTTTGTTAAATACATTAACTGTGTGCTAATATCCTCACACTGGTTTGTTTATCTCTAGGGATATAATTCTCTTAAGGATTTTTTCCCAACTATGCAAATGAAGCCAAACCCTCAATGTTCAAATGCTGCTTGCTTGAAAAGACAGGTAAGTTGTTTATGTTTTGAATTTTGAAAATAGTGGCAGGAAAGTTGTTTCCAGATCAATAAATGCATTGCTCCTCCTTCCAACTATGAAATTATATATGTCATGCAGGAAGAATACATGCTTGCAAAACCAGAAAGAGATGCGGCAGCCAAAGCAAAAATGGAAGCTGAAGCACAATTGACTGAGGAAGTGCCACTTCACAATGATAATGAATGGAATATAAGGTGTTTAATGATCTTTTTTTTTTTTGTTCATTTCCATGTGTAAGAGAAGATACTAAACATATTATCAGTTGGCATAGATATAATCCCTGATTTACTGGTTGCTATCATTTATGCAAAGTACCCTATTAGTATCAAACGTCATCCTTTCTTGAAATATTAGGCTTCACATTTAGTGATGTTCTTTTGCATTAATTTCCAGTGTTGTGGATGATGTTCAACTGGATGATCCGGATACCAGAAGTTCAGGTACTATATTAATTTATATTTTCTGAAAGTTTAAATTCATGATCATAAGCTCAGAATTTATCCTTCTTACAACTGAATTTAAGTGCCGCATGCTATTCTATGTGGTTGTTAATTTGTTATCACACTAGACAATTCAGGAAGTAAAATGGTACTAAAGTTTGCCTTGCCCACCATTTCTTGTGGACTTGGTCACCGTAGATAATTTTTTGTAAGTGTTTATAATAGAAAATAAAATAAAAAATTAAAATGATAGAAGTAATAAAATTTCTCTCAAATTAATATTATGCATCTCAACTTTTTCAGAAGTCAAACGAAGAAACTACTGTAAATAAATGTTGAAGTACATAGGTTAATTTTATCTTGTGAAAGGATGATTCACTTAATTTGCGCAATTTGTGTTATTTTTAAGTACTTGCTGAAACTGGGCCAAACATGCATTTGTTGGTTTCCTAGTTTGTTGGCGCACGGGGGAAATTCTACTTTGGCTATGGGAGGTTTTCTTTCTCAGCCAGCTCCTTGAGTGTTTTTACATAAAATGTAGCTTTCTTTGTTGCACCTTTACAGACTGCAAAGCAAAAAATTTTATCTTTTGGTTCTTCGAAAGTAAGGGTACTTTTGACAATATTAGTAGGGAATGCGTTTTCGTTTCGATCTGAAGGGTTCAAGATCTGTTTATCTCCGTTGCTCATTTTTCAATTAATATTTATATTAACCTTTTCACAAAACCTATTTCAGATGTTCTACCAGAAGGTCTCACACATGAACTTCCTAGTGCAGACGAGTTTGATAAGGCAACTCTTGAAGCTCCAGTAGCTGACAATGACGACCTTGAAGATCTTCGCAGGCAACTTGAAGCCATTAATTCTGCGTAGAGTAAAAAAGTTTTGCTTTTGTATTAGAAAAAAACTGCTGAATTTAATTTTTCGAGTAAGCCAGATTAACTTAGCATCAGTTTGTTTTAAAATTGAGAAAAACTAATTCTAAGTTATTGACTATTATGACAATCTATCGTGCACTTTTAATTAAACGTATATTTTTCTATTAAAAATATAAAAATGATTTTTCTAATCAAAACTAACGGCATAAAAAATTGTTTTAGTAATCATATATCTTTCTCTTTTAAGAAAATGATTCCTAAATACATCGAAGTGTAAGAGTTGCTCAATTCATTACACTTTCCAAAACTAACAGCATGTTGATAAAAAAACATTCGAATTTCTATTCAGTGGTAACAATGGATAAAAATAAAGTCTTTTGCTGAAGCTTAATTAACGTACGAAGATATTGTTCTCGAAATAAATGCAAACATTCGACTCTTTAAAGAACCTTACTAGTACAGAGCACTGCGATGAATTTTGCTCTTGCACCTTTCCTCTTCTAACGTTCTGGACAGCAGCCACGATATCCACAATTTGAATGATATTGAAAGAGCCACATTTGCATATCACCATCGGGAAATATGATATATTAGCTGAGGCAATTGTAATTAGAAAGGTTCCTCGAGATACGGTTTATTTGACCTTACTCCCTATTACGGCAAGACCCATTAGCATGAGTTGGTTTGCAGTCTACTTGCGTAAGTCCAATGTTGACCATGGACGACTTGCATATGGTTTAATTCTATAACGTATTTGTCATTGTTGCTTATTTTGGATGATCATGACTGATAAGCACCTTTCTCAGGAATAAAATTTCAAGGAAAGTGTCGCTGGAAATAACAAAGGCAATATAATATCAACGTTTATTATTTCTAACAATAGAGTACGAATGGAGGGACTCCCTCGCACAACTACATCGACATACTGAAAAACTACCTTCACAGCCATAAAATATGTTATAATATCGTACACACAAGGCCTAAATAACATCTGTTTTTACAACCAAAAATGGTCTTTTACGGATGTTAAACATGTTCATTTTGAGAGCTTATTGTTGATTGGGTCAGAACATTCCAACTAAGTCTTCTTTTCACTTTTCTTTCTCCTGAAATATGTTTGTAGCGTAGGTGTTGTATCATATTACTAAGTAAAAATTAAAGTGAAGCTTCAAAATCTAGTGCTCCTCAAACTTCAGATGAATTTCACTCATCAGTGGTTGATGTTTCCTGACCTGTATAATAATAAGGAAATTTTTCACATCAAAATTATACTCAATATCTTCATATTGGCTAGAGATACTAAACACAAATATAAGGAACTAACAACTACAAAAGTTAATTTTTTAGAATCAGTATCATAGGTACCCTAAGCCTATTGAACTGCAACAATAATTTATTTACATCCAAAAGTTTACGAAAATGTTACCTTTACACCAGCTAATGAAAGTAGCTTGTGAGAGGCTATATATGCAATATCCGAATTTTCTAATCTCTTCTCCACAAAATAAATTACTTCAGAAACTCCTGACTGCAAGAAAGAACTAAAAATATAATGGCCCTCTTTTAAAGATTGGATAGTAAGATAAGGATATGTCCAACAAGTGTACTGGTACCGATTGCACTAAAATTCTTCCATACTTGTATAAATCAGACTAGCATTGAATATGACTATTTATTAGCTAATACAGAGATCACAAATTATTGCAATTTTCATCAACTTATCGCCAGAAAGAGTTGTTATTCACATTACAACCTAAGTTTTGCCCCCTCAGAAGGCAGCCTACTGTGGTCTAGAGCCTAATGACAAAATGTAGCAGTTGTAAATTATACCTGATTCGACACGCATAAAGGACCTATCAGGAGAAAGAACTAGCATAAATGAGGCTATTTATATTAGAATTTGAACTTGTCGTTAACTTATCTCACAAAAAATGAATTGTAATGTCAAAATTAACTCTCACTTCTATGCTTTAATTTGTTCATGTTTTATATCAATAAGATTTCCAATTCATCTCCTTGAAAACTAGACATCCCACACGTAAAGTTAATAAAAATTAAACATTCACGAGTGGTCCGATCCGATAACAAGTGGTCTAATATCATTAGAATAAACTTTGATAATGTACCTTAAAATTGAAAAACTAACTAGTTGCTAAAAGTTGGTGATTGGTAGTTGTTAAACTAGCTTATTAAATTTTAAGTGTTTGATAAAAAGGATACGTTGAAGTAATTGATAAATATGTAATTACAAAAATAAATATGCTAAAACGATGTTTTATATAATTTTTAATTTCATCGATAAAAATATATTTTGAAGTATTTATAATTTTTGTTTCTAATTAATTTTAAACTTTTGTAAATTTATTTCTAATCGAATTTAAAATAATGTATAAATACCATACTTCTAAGTAGATATCATACAAAATAGTGGAATATAATAAAAAAAATATATCATTCATCACTGATGTATTTAAGTCTAATGTGAATATAATAAAATAAATAGTATAATATAAAACTATTAGAAAATTAATTACTATCAATATCTTATGTAATAAAAAGAAAATAAATTCTTATATAAAAACGTATTAAAAAATCCTACTTTATGAGTGGAAGAAGAGAAAAAGTTATATATAAAAAATCTCACCTTGTATAGAAAATATTAAAAGGAAATTTAATAAACAGTTTAAAGATAATATATATATATATATATATATATATATATATATATATATATATAAACTAGAAGTTAGTGTTTAATATAAAAAAAAAAACACTACAAGTTAGTAAAAAAATTATATTTATCCAACAGTATTAGTATTAGTAAAGTTAAACAAACTTTTCTCTCACTTATACATTTTAATTTAATCATATTTCTAAACGAGCTATTCAACCTATTTCATTATCAGAGAAGGGAAGACGATGTAAAACAAATTAATTAAAAAAAATAGACCTCATCTGCAAAATGGTTCACCAAAACATATTATACGTCAAGCAGGGCAAGGTTACCCACCTGGATTATGATCTTAGCACATTCATTGCAGGGGAACATGGTCACATATAGCCGCTGCAATGATTAGACAAGATAAAAGATGAAAAGAGATAATTGAAATCTCTTAGTATCAGGTGGTTAAATAAACAGTTTGATTATAACTTGCGGGTTCTGCTAACCATCTTTAAGATATTGATTAAGAAATTTAAAATAGAAAGTTTTTATTGAAATTTACATTCCGAATGCATTGGAAATCAGAATAAAATATATTAATGAAAATTTCTGTTTTAAATTCCTTCATCAAGCAAATAGTTAGCTTCCGAAGAATCTTTAAGAAATTTCTTTTATATGCTAACTGGTAAGGGTAGTGACACACTCAGTGTGTGAGCCAATTATTTAGTTAAGTTTCAAAAGGAAAATGATGAATAAACCACAAAGTCAATACTTCCAATTAAGACACTTAAAATGATATATTAACTAGAGAGTGCAGCAAAACTCACTTGTCCAGCAGCAGAGGCATGATTTGTGTTAAGAATAGCATTTACTTCTGCATGACAAACATAACTAAAGTGGACAAGAAAAGAAGAAAAAAAAATTGTCAACAATATTACGTTCAATCAACAATCCAATGACTTGACCAAGAACATTATAAGCCAAAGATTCAATGCATAACATAATCCATCTCATCAAAACAAAACTATGATTAAGATTTAATAGAGAGTGAATAAACAAAAGCAAAACACTTACGGGTACTTTGTCTCCAAAGGATTCCCAGTCCTGGATTTCTGAAACATAAAGAGATTTCTGGATGAGAAGATTTAAACAATACTCCAACAACATTAAAAATCGCTCTCATAAATGCCAACCTTTGCCCAGGGTAGGTTATCATCAGAACAACCTCTTGGAAACCCATTATAACCAATTCCTGAAAGAAGAAAAGGAAAAATAAAAAAAATCTGCGTTTCACTTAAGAAAGTGAATGGATATAAGAACCCAGTGAACGTACCAAGAATTATGCCATCTTGACTCACCAAACAAGCCCCAACCTGCCGTATTAACAACACCAAATGCACAAGCTTATAATTTTAACCCACCCAAGCAAACTCAAAATCCAAAATCCAAGATCAAACGGTTTTTACAAAAATTGAGATAAACATGACCTGCCTGTTAGGGTCTTTGGATCTCTCAGCTGACAAAAACGCTATTGCCATAAAATAGTCATCCCAAGACAAGTATCTGAAAATTATAATAAATAAATAAATACAACAACAAAGTTCAATTTATCCATTTTTATGAACACGAGAACTGAAAATTACCCTTTTCGCTTAGAGGGGTCGAAAGGGTCTCTAGGAGAGGAAATGATGCCGTTTTGGGATGGTTTAGGGCGGGTTTGGGAGCGACGGAAGAAGCGGAAACCAATTGCGGAGGCCATGGCGCCAATTACAGTTGCCGTGGCAACTAAAGTAACCTCGCGAGAGTTCATGGAGCTCAAAAATATGAAAACCAAAGCGAATTGGTTCTGCAAGAAGATGCAATTTTGGTATTCTAAATGTCAAAAAAACTAAAATTGTAACTCAAAAGTAAATAAACAAACCTAATTGTTGGAACTTGGAAGCGGGAAAGAACGCGGGAAAATTCACAACTCAGATAATTCATTCAATACACATCTTATATGTTACAAAAAAAGAATTTTATGGATCCAGTTTAAAAGGTAGAGTTTAGTTGTGATAATTTAAATGGTTAGATTATTTATAATTTGAAAATGGAAAAAAAAATTAGATATTTTAGTTTTGTTGAAACCTTACTTTTCAATGATTTTAATCATAAGAAATTAGTTAATTTATTTCAGATTAAATTGTTTAATATTTTATATTTAATTATTTGTATAAAATTATTTAATTATTTATATTAAATTATTTAACTTGAAAAAAATAAATAACTGGTATCACATAAATATCTCTTTGAATTTTTTACCCATTATAAATTTTAAAATTTGGGTAATGAATTATTAACAAAATTAGATTTTTCAATCAAAATTAAATTATTAAAACCGTGGAGAATAATGAAATGAAAATTACCTTTTTAAATGTTGTTTTTCAGCAGAGTACTCTTTCTTTCGTGTTTGTTCAGTGGAGTTAATTATTTTTAAAAATATATTATATTTGTGATTTTTTTTTTAAATCACCAACTTTATGTTAAATATTTAGCAGAAAGGCATATATTTTAAAAATTCTGACTTTTTCTACCAAAATTGGTGATTCCTTTATTATTGTTTCCCTTCTTGGACACACTTTCGAAGTAATCCATCTATTTTTCATGTTAAACTAGATACAATTAGGATAAAAATGTTGATGTTATTTTTCAAATAAACATGAAGATTTTTTATTATTTGTATTATAATTTTCTTATCAACAAAACTTCATTACTTTGACTAAATTTTATCCATATGATTAATCTCACATCCTCTTATTTATAATCACGTTGTCACCGCATTTCATGCAGAACTTTGAATGCATAAATTTGAAGAAATTTCTTAAATTTAATCATTCAACCTTATAAAAACATATTCATTGACGTAATAGGTGGATTCGTAAAATTAAGAACGGACCTCTGTATAAGATATTAAGGCTTAAACAATAAAATTTGATGTTTAAAGGTGTAGATTTTTAATTTTATAACATGTAAAAGTTGGAAGTAAAAAAATACAAAAATATGTATTCTTAAGCAAAATTTACAAAATATGATGTAAATATTAAAAGTGGTGAACATGATAATTTTAAATCAAATATTACTTAAAAAAAATTATAACCCATTTTAATTATATATTATTTAAAAAAAATAATGATAAAAAATAATATTTTAAAAAACAAACTAATCATTTTAATCGGATTGTAATTTTTAAATAACCAAATTTTAATTAAATCAATAAAATATAATATTTTTTTATTTTATATTAATTATATCAACTTTAAATAATATATATTTTATTATATTTATTATATATTTTATATTTATAAAATTTATTATAACAAATTTTATGATTTTTTATAAAAATATTATTTTATTAAATATGATATTAACTATTTAATCTTTATATTTGAATTCATGAATTAATAGTCAAAATAGTTTTAAAAATATTGATAAAAAAATAACTATTTAACTTTAATTTTGTTTATAATATTATTTTATTAAATATGATAATACTAAATATTTAAACTTTAAAATCATATATTCTACTAAATTATATATTTATTAATTGAATATCATTTTAAAAATATTAATAAAAAAATTGATTTCACTTTTAAGTTTTCAGTGAATATTTTATTTATATATATAAATTCCTACGCATGTGTAATTGGGTTTAGTTTCACCGACCAAAATGCCTAAAATAGAAAAATGGACACTTGCTATGGTGGTTCATTCAACTCTATGCTTCTCAACTATTCATGTATAGCCACAATAAATATAATTCACTGCCTATTCACAAAAACAATGATGGGAGGTATCCCACAATGTGTGCCTCTGTCCTTTTCTCATAAATAATAATTAAAAAAAAAGTGGTTATTTGAAAAAGAAAACACATTATCATGAATACACTATTATTTAAAAACTATAACAAGAACAATGAATGATTAATTGTACCTAGTTGTAACCCTTTTAGTCTTTACAACCTTTATTGAGAGCCTTTTTACACTACTTTTCCCCAGAATCTAAAACATTTCAGTATGTTTGATTTTAACATCATCCGGTTACATTTTCCATGGAAAAGGACACTAAAAAGTAAAATAGAAAAAAAACTATTCTCCATTCTATTTCTTTATTTTAAAGTAAGTGATCTAATCAGAACACATCCAAGAGATGAAAATCATGCAAGCTCCCAAAAGCAATTGTACATGTGAGCATAGACTGTGTAGTATAGACAATGATGGCAAATTATAATTGATTGAACTTTTTGAAGTGTGAAAACTACAGAGTGTTTAATCTTGAATTATAGGGTGGCACAAAGGCAAAGAGGGGAACCAAGAAGTGAAGATGTGATAGAGTCAATAGGACAAGGAAATATTAGTTTGGGAAAGTTTCACAAGGGTTGGGTGGGTGGGCATGAATGAATGATGATGCATGATGCATGTGAAAGTTTGAGAGGTTTCAAGGTTGGATGATCTAACTCCATTATCAGCTTTAGAGGCTAAACCCCATAAGCACCATTTGAGGGAGTGATGGAGGCCACTTTAGCACAATCATTCATTTATCATGGCCTCCAACTAAGCCTTGTGTATCATATTGTTCCTTGGGACCCAACTTTGTGAACCCCAAAGTCCTTTTTATTCAACCACCCATTTGCCAGTTGTAGCATTGCAGTGTCCCTCTTATTTATGGTTTCAACTTTTCTCAAGAAAAACATCCCATTATCATCACTCTTCTTTTTGTTTCTTTCTGAAAAACTTTCCTATTCCCTTTGTCTGCTTCCTAACAAGTAACCATTCTTCATCAATATAAATAGTAACCGCTCATGTAAAAATATTCCTTGTTATTTCTTTCAAAAACTAATCAAATCGCATTTTCATTGTTTCATCCACTTTATATCTTTCTTTCATCACTTTAATCATTATTTATCTCATTGTTTTTATTTTTATTTATAAATTAAAATATAAAATTCATCAAGTTGAGATGGCCGAGTTGGTCTAAGGCGCCAGATTAAGGTTCTGGTCCGAAAGGGCGTGGGTTCAAATCCCACTCTCAACAAAATGATATTTTCGTTGTTCATGACGAAATTACTATCTTTATTCACTTTTTATCACTAAATTTTGGTTTAGTCACTCTAAATATTACTGAAGGTGTCTAATGCTAAAAAATATTTATTATAATGATCAAAAGAAAAATCATCTCACTAAACATATATTTAACCTTAAAAGTTTCAAGTTATCAAATTATTACAGTTTTTTTTAGTAATATACATAAAAGTTTCTTTTATTATTATTTTAATCATGTTATTTTCTATCAGTGCAAAATATCTATTAAAATTTTTGGATTTTATAGAGATCTGTTATATTTTACTTTATGAAAGAGAGAATTAAAATTTATATAATTATTTTTTAGTTTTGATTTAAGAATGATTAAAGTTAAGTAAAATAATTTGATCTTAGTTTAAAATATAATCGGGTCATAATTTTTTTCTACCTTCACTCTATCCTAGGCCAGAGTCATTTTGTTCTAGTTGATTTTTTTAAAATATTAATGTGCCTATCTAAAAATAGTTAATTAAAAATAAAAAATAAATTTTATATTTTTTAAATATATTAATAAATTAATTTTTATTTTAAATATAATAATTTAATATATAAATTACAGGAGATGAGATTCGTCCTAAAATAAAAATAAAAAATATTTTTCATTATCATCATTATAAATAAAATAAGTAATTATTAATTAAAATAAGAATTCATCTTAATTTTTATATTATAAAATAATTGGAGATTAGATATTTATTATTATATTTATTTATGATTTAGTATAAATGATTTGTTGTTCGATTTAATTAAATTTAATTATATATAACTTAGGTAATAAATCACCTAAACATTGGATAGGTTCTTAATATTATTCAAAGTTTAATACATAATATATTTCAATAAAATATTATTTATAAATAATTTTTTTTAATATGATTTATAAATATTTAAAGTAAATTGTAAAAATAGTAAATAATCGTAAAAATCAATAATTGAAAAGTAAATATAAAAAAATAAAAAAATAATAAATCTAACTTATTATTAAAGATAAAATAGAAATTAATTAAAAAAAATGACGATCTATATTGTAAAAAATTCTATTAAAAATACTTGTTCCTAAATCATAATATTTTTTAGAATATAAGTTTCTTCATACAGTTTAACCAAGTTTATTATATTTATTTTATCTTATATATATTTTTTGAATGTAACTGTCAATGTGACTTAAAATAAAATAATAATAAAAATATAAAATAAAACTATTAACTAAAATCTTTAAACGATTATTTTTTAGTAGTAATTTCCCTTTTTCCTGTTTTGTTGATATATATCACTTATAACTGATCATAAAGAATTAGATCATAATTATATCCATAAATTTATCAATACACTACTAGAAGATTCTCCGTTATACTTCCTTTAAATATTTTGTTTCCTTATATACGATGACATTTTGCTTTAACCTTTTCCACTCTTTAAATCCTTGATTTTCAATTAATAATATTTTGACTTTTTTAATATTCCTAATCATCTTCTATCAATAATATATACTTATAAATGTTTTATTTTCATAATATACATTTTATTGATTATCATATTTATTTTTTACAATTATTGACGTCCTCGATTCATAATTTATAGACTTAAATTTACTAGTAAAATAAATAAATATTTTATCAAATTAATTTATAATTTATATATATTTTTAATAAAATAATATTATTTTATTTTTATTTAAAAAAATAATTAAGTT